ATGAAGGTTTGCTAAGGCAAGGTGGTGGGGTGAATGTAAATGGGGTTGGTGGAAATGGGTTTGGTAGCGTTGGGACTGGAGGGGGAGGAGGTGGTGGGACGATCTTGTTTGTTGGTGATTTACATTGGTGGACTACAGATGCGGAGCTGGAGGTGGAGCTCTGCAAGTATGGTGCGGTGAAGGAGGTCAAGTTCTTTGACGAGAAAGCTAGTGGGAAGTCTAAAGGCTATTGTCAGGTTGAATTTTATGATTCATCTGCTGCCTCATCTTGCAAGGAGGGAATGAATGGGCATGTTTTTAATGGCCGGCCATGCGTTGTTGCCTTTGCATCGCCATATAGCATTAAGAGGATGGGAGAAGCCCAAGTAAATAGGAACCAACAGATTGCCCAAGCTRCTAATCCTCAAGCAAGGAGAGGTCCTATTGATGCTGCAGGTAAAATTGGTGGAAGTAGCATCCAAACGGGTGGTAATTATCAAGGTGGTGATAACAACAGAGGTTCTGGGAGAGGTAATTGGGGGAGAGGCAATGCYCATGGAATGGGAGGTAGAGGACCAGCTGGCCCGATGAGGAATAGGGGTGGTGGGATGGGTGGCAGAGGTATAATGGGGAATGGTGGAAATGGATTTGGCCAAGGAATTGGTGCCACCCCTCCTTTGTTGCATCCTCAGTCAATGATGGGTCAAGGTTTTGATCCATCTTTTGGTGCACCCATGGGACGAATGGGCACCTATGGTGGTTTTCCTGGAGCTCCCGCTCCCCCTTTCTCTGGGATTTTATCGTCATTTCCACCTGTTGGGGGTGTTGGTCTTCCTGGAGTAGCTCCTCATGTGAACCCAGCATTTTTTGGAAGAGGTATGCCTATGAATGGAATGGGAATGATGCCAACATCGGGTGTGGATGGGCCTAATATGGGAATGTGGTCTGATCCTAGTATGGGTGGATGGGGTAGTGAAGACCATGGTGGAGGGAGAGCAGGAGAGTCTAGTTATGGTGAAGAAGCTGGGTCTGACCAACAATACGGTGAAGGGAGTCATGAAAGGGGGGCATGGGCAAATTCTGCAAAGGAGAAAGATAGAGGCTCTGAAAGGGATTGGTCACAGTCTTCTGATAGAAGGTATCGAGATGACAGAGATGTTGGATATGATAGAGAGAGGTCCAAAGAAAAAGAACCAGGTCCTGACCATGATTGGCCTGATAGAAGGCCTCGAGATGATAGAGATATAGGTCGAGAAAGGGATAAGGATAGGGATCGGGATCGGGATAGGGAACGTTCTCGAGATTATGAGCGTGGCCATCATGATCGTGATCGTGACAGGGATAGGGATCGTGACCGTGATAGGTACAAGGAAGATAGAGAGAGATATTCAGATCATCATAGGTATAGAGACCGTGAACCAGAGCATGAGGATGAGTGGGAAAGGGGGCGATCGTCAAGGACTCATAGCAAGTCCCGATTATCACAAGAAGAGGAAAATCGTTCTAGAACGAGGGATGCTGATTATGGGAAGAGGCGGAGGCTTACTTCTGAGTAGCTGAATCATTCAGCATACCTGCTTAAAACTATATAGTATGGCTTTCCATGTTCATTTGGGTTCTCTCCCAGATGGGCTCTTTGATTCATCATTGCCCTTTTGCCTCTGCTGTTTATTGTCTGAACTCCGGAGTATGTCTTCTACCTACAGGAGCATGGTCTGATTTGTAGCAAAAAAAAGGTGAGTTCGTCCAATTTTTTTCCTTTTCCCAAAATTTTCAAATTTAATTTCTGGTGGTTTTTTAGGTCTCGTTCTATGGTCTTTAAATATGGGCTTGCTAACTATCGAACTTGTTCAAAACTTATTCTCTATAGAAATAGATGTTTACTCTATTGATGCTCTAATGAAATGTCTTGTTAACCATTAAAAAAATGTTGTTATTGCAGCAAATAGTAGTTTTTGGGTTCTTGGAACTGATATCATTGTTGATTTTACCACCATACTTGCTCCTTCTATTATTGTTTGGTACTATTTATTGATTTTATTTCCAATAGTTTTACATTTCCATTAGATAATTATAAATGCAAGCATTTTTTTATCCTATGTTAGATTGAGATACTCAAGACATGGACTCATTGACGTCTACATTTTATATTAAAAAATTCAGGACACAGACATGCTTAGGACACTTTTTTTTGAAGTTTTTAATTTATATTTGAATGTTTCATACATTTCCATGATTTCCACATCTAAAAGTATGTTTAACTTTGTATGACATTTGTTTTAGATATGTGAAAGAAGTAGTAAAATATGCAATACTTCAATAAAAAAGGTTAATATAGTTTTGGTCCCAAAAGTTTGCCCTTTTTTCTAATTTTTTTAAGTATAAAAAGTTATAGATTAGTTGCTCTAATTCTAGTATGTTCTAAATTCAATCCCTATGGTTAAAATCTGAGTTAGGCATAAATGAAGAAATGGCTTGATCTTTTTTATTATCGATTAATACTTATGTTGTATAATTAATAGTTTATAACGTGAAGATGGCAGAATGGAACTTATGATATATCAGTCACTAAGTCACTTAGAAATTTAGAAAAGACAGGTTATTGAAGTGTATTACTCAGTAGTTATGAAGTTATACAATTAAAGGAAACCTTATTAGAAAATTTTGAGCATTCAACATTGCAAATTCCAGACAATTAGAAAACCAGTCGTACTGCTTTTTTTTTTCTTTGTTTTTTGTTGCAGGATTTAATGGTTAGGAAGGACTGAATTTAGGACTCATTAAAATCTGTGGGACTAAAATTGGACTTCTATATCAACCATCATGGGTACTCATTAGTCCAAAGGGGCTAGAGTTAATTAAGAGGGAATGAGTTTAAACCCTATGATGGTCACCTACCTGAGGCATTAGTAATTCCTATGTGTTTTCAAGCACCAAATGTTGTAGGATCAGGCGGTTGTCTCGTGAGAACACTCACGGATATAAAAAAAAGGACTTCTATATCTTAGGGTTCAAATTAAAAATGGTGCTCAAATTTTGGTACCAGGACTATATTTTAATCACTAATTCTTAATGATGCAACGCCTCATAGCAAAAGGTTTTAAAAGAGTCTAAGGTCAAATAAACGTATTTCTAAATAACTAAGCATCTTTTTAAGAAAGAAATTTAACATTAGTTATGTTTATATCCATGCCTTTTCTTTTACAAGAAACAAGAACTTTTCTGATAATTGAAAAGTTATGATCTAACAACTCTTTCTAGGAGTATAAACCCCAAAACCAAAACTAAAAATTACGTACGATCTAAACAAATTACACTTCCCAACAATAATTAACTCCAAAATCCAAGTGCGAAAATTTGAGTGAGAGAGCACCCCAGTAAGCCACCAGGATCTATGTCAAGCCATGTTTTCCTCCTCAGAAACCCTTTTATCCCATCAAAAGTTCGATTTCTTTCAAAACCGAATGCCCAAACTACGGATTTAACAATGGAGACCCATAAACTCTGGCTTTTCTTTTAAGACTGTGACCACTAGGAAGACTAAGGATTAGTTTCTGCTCTGAGATCGCACACCCAAGAAACATCAAAGATCTGAAAAAGCTTTCAACAAGCATATGCTTAAAACAGTGAAAATACAGACGATGAATGTCCTCCCTAGCTTTAAGACAAAGAACAGCAACTTGAACTCAAGTACCACCTTGGCTACTTTCTTTGAACCTTATTCGCGGTGTTCAGGCTTTCAAAAAATACCAACTCAACTAGAAGACTTACCTTCCTTGGATAATTTGTCTTTGACAAGGTTGAAACGAAAAATTTTGGCAAGTAAGATGTTGCATCTAGCTTAAACAATGATCTTACTGCAAAAGATCCTGATTAATCCAAAATCCACCTTCTCGCATCTTTCTTCCTAGGGAGAGACATCCATTCTAATAATCCCAAAATATTACAATATTTGGCTACTTGCTCGTCCCTTAAACAACTTCTAACAGTAACTCTTCACGAACATGAACACACACTTATCACATGCGTCTACAACCAACAAGTCCTTTTGATTTGATAATTCAAAAGTGCTGGGAAAACAAAGAGCGATTGATTTCCAATCCAAGAGTTTTTCCAAGAAAGTCTCTTCGTTCACCAATCTTGATTAGCAAAAACTTATTATGACTTCTTCTTTTTTCTTAACCTCAACACATTCCATCAACGGCTTTTACAACCTTTAGAGTTCTTCATTTTTGTGAACCACCTGGAATGATCACTTTCAAGATTTATTATTCTACTACTAAATCTTGTAACTATGTGGATTAATTCTTTTAATAAAAGAGAACAAATAAATAAAAGTAGGGTTAGACAGTTGTCCTGCAAGAATAGTCAAGGTACGCACAGGTTGGTCCAAATAGATAGGATATAAAAAATTGTATTTAGTATGTCTCGGGCACATGTCAAAGGTATTTAATATGTGTACAAAACATTTCTTTTCATAGGAAATGTGTATGATGCATGACTACTGTATTCAACAAGTGTATATATGTCAATATGTTTGGCAAGCATACGATATGTGTGCAATGGTGTGACTGATATATTCTGAATAAAAATGCATCACGAAAAAACAATGTTCATGTTTCATAGGTTTCCAATTTTCATGCTACATTACCCATTGAGACCATTGTTCTTATTGGGGTAATCTTGGTTGGTTTATGTGTTTTCTTATGTACCCAACCCAAATAAAGAACGAGTTGCTCAACTTTTTTTTGTCTGAATTGATGTGCTTATTTTTATTTATTTTCCTGAAGCTTCATTCTTTCTCTCCTTTTATCTGTTCCAGGGCCAAAGTTTTACATGATTTAAATGGAACACTTCGATTTATTCTACTTTTAGACGTTTGATGTCAAATTGGAATTAATACATACATATTTGTTGCTTTATGTTGACATACTAATTACCAATAGAAGAGCCATAACTTTGTTGCTGATCGGAAGTACCTATCATTTCCCTTTTTTTTTTGTAGCTTTAAGGACATTTGATACCGAGGATTTCATTCAATGCAACAACAGTTGGTTCAGGGATGACAGGGACCTTTAAATTCAAGTCTGCCAGAGAATACCCATGCATGGCAACTGCAATATCTATTCGCTCTATTAATTTGATAAGGAAACTCTTGGTTTAAACTTCTCACGTTTCTTTTGAATGATGTTTCTTGACTTGGCACTTGATGACATTGATATTCTTGTTGTAATGCCTAAATATTGCTGGAGTCCAGACCATGTCTAAATGTTTTCCGACATGTAATGGCGTACTTTGTTGTTAGAGTATCTTAGCCTGGAGGATGTTGTGATGTGCGTTATTCTGTTTTATAAGCTGTTGTATCATATATTCACACCTCTTTTCAATTTTTTTTCTTTTTGAT